GATATGCCAAACACAGTAACATCAAGTCTCATGATGGAGACATTACTGGGCCCGCTCGAGCAAATTGATGAACAACGGGAGGACTGTGACTTCAACATATTCTTACTCTCCACTTCTTTTTATAAAAATATTACATACCTTCATGGAAAGCCTGCATGCAGAGCCTGGCAAGGTCCCTGTGGCATATTCGATATGCCAAAAACAGTAACAACCAGTCTCACAATGGAGATGGTACTGGTGCCCAGTTGAGCAAATTGATGAACAATGGGAGGACAGTGCGACAGTTCTTGGAAAACAACCTACCTGCTTATTTATTCTCTGCCTATGCATTCCTGTTTACCAACAGAACTTGAGGGCTGTTATTTCTGATTGTTTCCAAATGCTCATTTATTCAACACCATTTACTGGGGCACCTTGCAGAGGCTAGGGACTGTGCTAGCCATGGGGATTACCTAATAATGTCAGTGCACAGTCTTAAATGATGGTGGCATGATGTAAACAGAAATGTACACACTAAACTGATGCTCTTCTGTCTTCAAAGGATTTAACTTGCAAATATCATTCAGACCTTTGTGAGGAAGACTGTACATGGAGTGCTCAGATAGCACAAGTATTCCAGTCTGGTGACTTAAAACCTCCTGAGTTCTGTATTAAATCTTTTCTTTCTTCCTTTTGTCTTCTACCATTTTTTATCTTGACTACCCTTTAAATTCCATTTGTCTGTATGTCCTCTTTTCTTTGCTTATAGAGAATTAAACACTATAGATATATATGTATTATTTTCCACAATAATGTAGATACAGTTATTGTTTCATTTAAAGATGAGAAAGTGAAGCAAGAGAAGTTTAATTTACTCAAGATAATCAGTGAAGAATCAGAATTTGTACCCAGGAAGTCTAAGTCTATACACTGGAGTTCTTATCTACTATATTGTTCTGTCTCAGAAATAATACAAACACCAAGGACCACAGAAGCTTGACATACTATGGCTACTTGGGGTAGAGTAGCTATTCTAAAGTAAAACCTATAAAGGAAAAGGAACTCTGAAGGGAGAGATAAAGAATATGAGAGATAGAATATCAGCGATATTGTAAGAGATATTCATGATTATATAAATCTTTAGAGAATACATAGCTAGATTCCAGTATTGGTCTTATTGGTTATTCAGTAAATTGGATTTTTTGTTATTAGTACCAATGGGGTATTAGTCAGGGGTTTACCCCAAATTGTTCAAAAAGTTCTTTGATACTAGGAGATCTATGATAGAGTGTATATGCAATAATTTTGGGAAGAATGTTTCTTGTGGGGGGGAGGGCATACCAGGTGATGTTCAGGGTTAATCCTGACTTTGCACCCAGGAATTACTCCTGGTGGGGCGCTGGGGACCATATGAGACCAGGGATCAAACCAGGTCAAATACTGTACAAGAGTAGAAGTCAAACCCCTACCTACTGTACTATTTTTCCTGCCACACTTTTGAAAGAAATATGTTGATTCTACCTAACAATCATATGTAGCACTGTAGCACTGTCCTCCCATTGTTCATCGATTTGCTCAAGTGGGCACCAGTAACATCTCCATTGTGAGACTTGTTGTTACTAGTTTTGGCATATTGAATACACCATGGGGAGCTTGCCAGGCTTTGCCATGCGGGCGGGATACTCTTGGTAGCTTGCCAGGCTGTCCAAGAGGGACAGAGGATATCGAACCCGGGTCACTCGTGTGTAAGGAAAATGCCCTACCCGCTGTGCTATTGCTCCAGTCCTTTAACAATCATATGATTAACAATCATATATAAAGCATATTATTCAATCTCTGTTAAAATAAGGTCAGGAAACATTACAAGGCGGTTTTTGTGTGGTTAGTCTATGCTCCTGTTAGATAACCTTTGCAATATTTCCTGTAATAAAACTAAGTGCCACAGCACCTACAATCTATCCACAAATTTATCAGTTATGACTTCTAAGTACTTTTTTAAAACAAGGACTTGTGAATATGCATTATACATTTCATATATTCAAGGTGGGGTCCTTTCTCTACCCCATAGCCCTTATGGGCTTAAACTTTTTAAAAAATAATATTTTTATATATAAACATTCAGCAGAAAAAAACCCTGATGTAGTCTCCTCTGTAGGTCTCATGCCCCCATTTAAAAATAATTTTTGTTTTTTCATATAGACACTGTGATTTACATAGTTATTCATAGTTTCCAGTTTCAGGTGTGCAATTTTCCCACACTTTTGATCAGATCACCAATATCAACTTCCCTCTGCCAGTGTCCCACTTATCCTCCCAACCTCCAGTCTTCCTCCTTGACAGGTTCTAAATTTGGTTATTGTACGTTTTTTTTTCTTTTTTGGAGTGGGAGTTTAATTTTTTGGTTTGGGGGCCATGCCTGGTGTTGCTCAGGAGGACGGGAGTCAGCTGCATGCAAGACGGACACTCTACCTATGTTTTATAGCTCCAGCTCCAGGTTATTACAGTCTGGAACTCCTGCTTTCAGTTTTGTTGACTCTACGGTTTAGCTCTCTAGTTAAATAATGCCACGTCATCACCAATGTGTTTATGCTCCACTTTGACAACACCTGAAAGAATCTGGAATTCAGGACATTTGAGTGACATTGAAAAAAACTGACCTCTAAAATCATGAATGCTACATAGTTTTATATCTCTTAAAGTTTAAGGTTATATCTCTTTAAATTTAAAGTTTATTTTATTTATAAGTATCCCATCTCATATACAATATGGTAGTGAAGAAATTTCATGGTTTAATTTATCCTGTTCAACTATGTGTTAGTTCTTATGATAATCTTGCACTGTCTACTTCTCCTGCACAGTCAAATACACTTGGAAGTTTACTTCATGATCATGGATCTTTATTCAATGCTATTTTTCATTATTAAGCAGGTCAAATACTAACCAGTACCCCGCTCCTTTCTCCTTCAAGTACCTGAAAAGATTGTCATTTCCTTCCCCTTAGGCAAGGACAAGTGACTAATTGCAATCAATGAAAACCATTTCTAGAAAAGTATTACCAAAACACACATATATCCCCACTAATTTGGTTCATCCATTTCAGAATATTATTGTATTCCACTTCAGCAATAAAATTAAACAATTTAAAAATTTCATTCTGATAAGATTTCTATTAACTGTTCAGATTGTAAGTTCTTTGTGGGTTGAGTAAGTCAGGAACTCATAAAAATTAGAAACTCCAATACATTTTTTTGCTAAATGAATGAGTGAAAGATTAAATTGAAATGACTGAGAACCATAATTTTAACATAATATCTGTTTAAATCATTTTTAGTTCTCCCTTATGATCATTTCAGCTCTTCAATGATTTGGAAAATTACCCTTAAATGAAAAAGATAATTTATTTCTAGCAATAATATGAAATTTACAATAATATTCTGGCTTTTCAAATAATGCTAACAGAATATAAGAAGGAGATGTAAGTTTTACTTTCTGTTTCACAACCTTGTAAATAGATGGTGTGGTGAGTATGTTGATCTTACATTTGAATATAACTTGTGGACCTTTCCTTTTTATTGGATTTGGTGACTTGAGGGTGTTCACTTGAGGGTACTTAAGGGTCAAATGTCTATGTTAACCTCATATTGGAATTCTATAAATTGTTGTCCATATATTGGAATCCTATCTCTCAGTATTTGGAAGGGGGCTTTGGGAAGGTAAGCAGGTTTAGATAAGCTTCTGGGAAATGCCATAGCAGGATTTCAGTGTTGCTGCTCCCGTCTATGTATGTGAGCATAAAGCAAGCAGGCTACTGTCTGCAGATCAAGAAGTAAACTTTCTTCAACTTAGCAATTTTATGATTGACTCCTTGATCTTGAACTTTTAAATCTCCGGAACTGAGAAATAAAGAAATAATGTTTAAGCCACCAGTCTGTGGTATTCTATTATAGCAGCTTGTGTTAAGCCATATGCCAAAATTCTCTTGTAGAAATGCAATCTTATTAACACGACTCAGTAATTTTATCTTATTTGTCAGAAATTAGTCTGACATTATTCTGCCTCTTTAGTACATTAAGCAACATGTCCACTAAATGACCAATCTGACTTACCAAATGTTTCCTACAAAGGCAGCAAAGCTTTATTTGATCTCTGTTGTTGCTTGGCACAGTTTGCTTTTAAGAGCTAACCTAAATATGAGGTTCTTGGGCTTACACAATGCAAATAAATGAAAAATTTCACTACATTCTAAAAGCTTATAATTGGAAAAGAGAGTTCAGTAATTTAGCTGAAGGTTTACTCTTTATAACACCCCCGTTCATATCATAAATACAAAGATTTTTGTCTCCTGGTAAATAGATTTAGTACTTCAATTTGTATCTTCCTATAAGTTCAAATTTGTTTTTCTTAAAATAAGAAATTCACACCATCAAAAGGCTAGAGGAATTTTTGGCATACCTAACTGTTATAAGGGCTTATCTTGGCTCATAGCTCAGGGATCACTCCTGGCATTGCACAGGGACCATATGTGGTGCTGGGGATCAAACCTGCCTTGCTTCATGCAGGGCAGCACCTTACCTACTATGCTATATCTCCAGCCCCGGGAATAAATTCTTTTATCACACTTAAAAAGTTTACTTAAAAAATTTGGGGATTTTCATCAAAATAATAAATATTAAATATCGATCTGTTTTGTGCAATCCAAATGAAAGTCGGCTATCATAACTCACTGGATAAAGTTTAGTTTTTATAATTTTGATAAATATATCCCATTTACCTTTTTTGCTACAAATCATATCTTATGGTTGTCACGAGAAGGCAATAAAATATTACATACCTTCAAATGACCTCTTTTCACTATTCAGATTTTTGTCTTTCGAATAGTAGTTTTTCTTTAAGAAATAAATATAAATGCCACTACTGGGAGAAGCTACCAGTCTAGGACAAGTTCTAGCATTTAGTGTTCTGACAGATCTTAATTTGGTTATCAGCCAAAGTCAATAAAACTAGTTCATGCAGAACCTTACCTGGTTTTCACCACGTCGAGGGGGTGCATCAGGCAAATTTCTACAAGACCTGAAAGATGATAAAGAAAAGTCCAATAAACACTTATGTAAACATTGATTCCTATTTCCTTGACCCAAATAATTTCTCAACTATGATTCAAATCAAACTTGGGACTTTGATGCTAAGTGAAATAAGGAAGTAAAAAACAATTATTAGATTATTTAGTTTATATGTAAAAAATAAATAACTAAAGCAAGTTCACTGGCAAGAACCAACAAAAATATTAGACTTAATGAAAACTATGGTGGTTATAAGACAGAAAGCATAGTGGTTGGTGTGTGTGTGTGTGTGTGTGTGTGTGTGTGTGTGTGTGTTTGTATGTTTGTGTGTGTGTAACATGAGTGAGGACAGGTGGAAAAAAGGCACTGAAACTTTAATGGTAGGTGTGGTGCCTCTTATACCAAAATAGAGAATGAAGAATCTGTGACATTCCATAATATTATAAACCAATATTAAAAAGACTGCAGGCCATAGGTCAATTTTGCACAAAACATTCCTATTGGAGCTCACAGAGACTGTAAGAAGCATTTACAGCAAAAAGCAAGCAAGCAGACAAAAAAAAAAACCTTGAAATTTGGGAAATGATAGTTAAATATGTTAGACTAGTGAAAAATGTAGTATGACTTTCTTTTTGGTGGGAGCAAAATATGTAAAGAAATACTTTCTTACCAAATGCTCTGTCACAGGCTGAAGAGAGAGTATTTGAGGTTAAGGTGCTTGCCCTGCATATAGCAAACAGTTCCCCAAACATTGCAGGGTATAACTCTAGAAGTCCCTCATACCCTAGTCCTACTAGAACCTGGGTCTGAAGATGCAGGGTCCAAGCAGCATTGCATCTTCAGGCCCTTGCACTGAGCTTACTGCCTGCGTCCAAAAAAGATGGCTGACTGAATTGTATCTTGAGATACACACACATAATGCTGATATTATTGTTGAATTTTTATATTCTTTTACTGACAATACTATTAATAGAAGTGTTTCAGGCATACAATGGTCCAATCTCAAATCCAGCACTGGAGTACCAGCATCTCTTCACCAATGTCCCTATGTCCTCTCCCATTCCCGCCTCGCCCCCTGTCCACCACCACCCTGGTAAATGCACATCTGCAATCAATGTTAGGAGCTGTTACCACTGGACATTTAGGAAACATAGTCATGATAATATTAACATGTATGGTTTTGACGTCCAGTTGCCATAAATCACCACTACCAAAGTGCGCACCACCCTCTAATGATGTCCATATGCTCCTTCTAGTCAGCCTCTATTCATTTGTCTATTACTTGCACTCTGGTTCTTTTCAGATCTTGCTTATTGCAAATAGTACTGCAATAAACATAAATACGTATGCAAATACCTTTTGAAATACCATTTTGTGTTCTTGCAGTAAATGCCAAGAGGTGGGACTAAAGTATCATCATGGTCATGGTCCTCCCGTTGTTCATCGATTTGCTCGAGTGGGCCCAGTAACATCTCCATCGTGAGACTTGTTGTTACTGTGTTTGGCATATTGAATATATCACAGGTAGCTTACCAGGCTTTGCCGTGCAGGCGAGATACTCTCAGTAGCTTGCCAGGCTCCCTGAGAGGGGCGGAGGAATTGAACCCGGCTCTTATATGGAAGCTCAATTATTAGTTTTTTGATAAGCCTCCATACGGTTTTCTATCGAGACTGAATGGATGACATTCCCACCAAAGTGGATGAGAGTTTCTTTTTTTCTCATATCCCCACCAAAAATGCTATCTTCTTTGAACCGACCCACATACATGGCTGAGTTAACACGACTTGTTGAAAATTTTCCTTTAGCCCCCATCTCTTCTGAGAAAGTTTCATATATTTAACCACAAAACTGCATTGAACTAACTCCTTCTCTGATAGAGCCAGAGCCATACCTCTTTTGCTAAAACAATGTGTAAACATTATGCTTTTTCTAAGAAAAATACAAGCACTATGTAATGATTATAATTATGATTGGTGAAAATCAGCCTTTTTTCAGTGTTCAATTCCTTGGGCTAATCCTTTTTTCTGGAATGTTGTCATTACATGAGAAAACATATATAATACACATTTTTTTCTGAAAAAACTGTACCTTCATATCAATTGGGGCAACTGTTTCCCGAGAAATTCTGGACTAAAACTTCATTGTTCTCTAGGATTCGTTTCTCTTTCTGGCTGCCGAAAATAATTATTGCATCGCCCAGATTCCCCTTCTGCTAGGAGGGATTGACATGTCACTAAGTTCTCATCAGTGGTATATATGCAAAAGTAGAAGCAACTTTCGGGAAGCCTTCTAATGACATACACCTGCTCTCTCCTCATTCTTTTGTGTGGTGGAATGTGATTACAAGACTGGATGGTCTTCTTGAATAACAGTATGACTTTTGGGAATGGGCACCACAAAACAAAGCCACATTTCTGTGGCAGAAATTTCTGGCATCATGAAGTTCTATGGAGGGAGTTCTTTGGAGTGCATCTCTAGATAGTCTTATTGAAAAGTTCTTGTACTACTGTTACAGTCTTCAGTTTTCTGCCTCTTGTAAATAATAATAATAATAATAATAATAATAATAATAATGTCCTCCCGTTGTTAATCAATTTGCTTGAGCGGGCCCAGTAACATCTCCATTGTGAGACTCGTTGTTACTGTGTTTGGCATATTGAGTACATCATGGGGGAGCTTGCCAGGCTTTGCCATGTGGGCAAGATACTCTCAGTAGCTTGCCGGGCTCTCTGAGAGGAACGGAGGAATTGAACCCAGCTTGGTCGGGCTGGCTGCATGCAAGGCAAATGCCCTACCACTGTGCTATCATTTCTAATACTATTTTTAAAAAATAAGAAGAGGGAACTTTTATGTGCTAAAACATGGTACTACAACAGCCTGTTTTCTTGTCCAGAAGTCCTCTGAGGACAGAGATTCCACAGGCCTCTGTCATCTTTGTGTCAAATCATTTGCACGATGACTGGCATTCAGTAAGTACAATATTTTGTGAATAAATAAATTACTATCCATACCATTATGTGAGCTTATTCTCAGGTAATTAAATAGGTAGTTATTTCTTCTTCATCTATTAGTTTTAGCACTATACAAGTAAGCACAGATAAATATTTTTCAAAATTATATAAAGTAAAACACAAGAATTATTCAAATACAAAACTGCAATAATGTTAATCACATACCCAGGTGTTCAGTTGCGATGTAATTGTGAGAAGGCAATCAATAAATCAACACCAAGTGGACTGATAATGATTCTTGAGAACTGACTTTGAACAGGATTTTGTACTGGATGAAGGAGTTACTGCCTAATACAACACCAAGGGTGCCTCAAAGTGAAAAAGTTAAAAGATAGGAACAGGAGTGACACATGGAGTTCTATAGAAAGGAAAGACACTGAGCAAAGAATAGTAATCTGCATAAAACTTTATCAGGCCCAATATATTAGTTTTGTTATTATAGTATAAAATTTTGCCACTTACAATCTGTATCAGGCTGGAGTGATAGCACAGCGGTAGGGCGTTTGCCTTGCACGCAGCCAACATGTCCGACCCGAGTTCGATTCCTCCGCCCCTCTCGGAGAGCCCGGCAAGCTACCGAGAGTATCTCGCCCGCACGGCAGAGCCTGGCAAGCTCCCCATGATGTATTCGATATGCCAAACACAGTAACAACAAAGTCTCCAATGGAGACGTTACTGGGCCCGCTCGAGCAAATCGATGAACAACGGGAGGACAGTGACAGTGACAGTATACAATCTGTATCAAGACTATTTTTTAGTAACTATTAACTTTTATACAAAATTGTGAACCACGGGTGCTAGGGAAATAGTACAGTAGGGAGGGTATTTGCTTTGCACACGGTGAACCTGGGTTGGATCCCTGGCATCCCATATGGTTCCAGAGCCTGCCAGGAATGATCTCTGAGTGTAGTCAGGAGCAAGTCCTAAGCACAGTCAGGTGTGGCTCCCAAAACAAAAAATCTAAACATAAATGAAATATACAGTTTGTTTATATTTCTTTAGAAATGACCATTTCTAAAGTATGCTACTAGAGAGCAGATTATTTTTTATTTTTTTTATTTTATAAGGTAGTTTACAATATTTGATTACAGTTAATATTCAAGCACCAATCCCACCATGATTACACCTTCCCACCACCATATTTCAGATGTTTCCATCCCGAACCCCAATCCTTGTCCCAAAGCAGAACTGAGATAATATATTTTGTATTGTTTGTTATCAAAAACCTCTGAAAATGCTAAAAAAAAAAGTATCCTTAAAGGAAAGAGTGTGAAGACTGTTCTGTTTCGACAGGGGCCATTAAGACTTTCTATAAGATATCAGTAACATGTTAAAGGTTGAGACTTGTGTGCTTTTATACATATATTGAGAGCAGATTATTCTAAATACACTCATACTCTGGTTTTTATCATTCAATTCACTATCACTTTCTCAACAAATCTAATATATATTCTAATTACAATCAATTTAACATTACCAGATATGTTACCTTGCCATTCCATTATGTATAATACCACAAATCACTGTCCCTGTCACTGTCCTCCCATTATTCATTCATTTGCTCGAAGGGGCACCAGTAACGTCTCACAGCGAATTGTGAGACTTGTTGTTACTGTGTTTTGGCATATTGAATACGTCAAGGGTAGCTTGCCAGGCTTTGCCGTGCAGAACCCGGGTCAACTGTGTGCAAGGCAGATGCCCTACCCGCTGTAATATCACAAATAGCTTTTATAATACCATACTTTTATAATACCACACACTGTAGCACCGTCCTCCCGTTGTTCATCAATTTGCTCGAGTGGGCACCAGTAACGTCTCCATTGTGAGACCTTGTTGTTACTGTTTTTGGCATGTCGAATACACCACGGGGAGCTTGCCAGGCTCTGCTGAGCAGGTGGGATACTCAAGTAGCTTGCTGGTAGCATCCCTCTCTGAGGGTAGCATCCCTCTCTGAGAGGGATGGAGGAATGCAACCCAGGTCAGTCGTTTACAAGACAA